CCATTTATTATAAGATGGCAGAAACTGAGAGAGATTAGTTGACTTGTTTCAACAGTCTGGCGGGGGGGGTGGGGGGGGAAGAGAATCAAACCCAATTCTGTCTTGTTCTACATTTCTTGCTTTTTCTAGTCCCATATGAGCATGTGTGTGTGTGTGTGTGTGTGTGTGTGTGTGTGTGTGTGTGTTTGTGCGCGCGCGCGCATGGAGGGAGGCAGGGAGGAAGGTATACTTGTGAATGTGATCCAAACTGATGAGACCACATACACATGTGGTAGAGAGAGGAATTTCTGTTTCAGAGGCAGAAGTGATTGCTAGAGAATCAGGGCTTTAAGAATTGAATAACAGCAAAAAATGCACAGAGGTTATGGTCAATAATGAATCCAAATTATCACAGCTAAAATGCTCAAAACTCCAGGAAAAGCCTCCTTTCAGCTCTCCCTCATGTCCTCGTGATTCCTCTTCATATTCCTATTATTGTAGGTTTGGGAGGTTGACCATTCTGTTAGTGCCTTTCTCTGGAGCCTAGAATTCCTCCTGATAAAATCTGCTTTGTGTTCTGCACATTTCCTGGGGAGGCGGAAGGGGCAGAGACAAAGCGGATTGTTTCTCATGTTATGAAGAGAGAAACTGAGGCCCAGAGGGGCCTTGTCCAGGCCCGCACATCCTGCCTGATTCAAGAGGTCCTGGTCAGGAAGACGACTTGTTGGCCAGCTGTTGCCTTCTGTCACAGAAGACGGAATGGTCCAGGCAGCTGCCAGCCTGGGCAGGCAACATGCCCAAGCCCTGGCTTGAGTTCCACAGAAGTCTGGTCCACTCTGGGAAAGCTGGGAGGCACTGTGGATCTGAACTAAGCCCAGTGTGGGGAGAAGGAGGGAAACAAGCTCTCTTTGAAGAAGAAGTATGAGAGGACTGCCAGCCTTCCTGGGCCAAGAATCTGCCCAGCCAAGTTAAAGTGAGAAGGAAGGAGAGAGCCAGATTCTTGGAAAACCTAGTACTATCTTCCTCTACAACATTGCTATCTAGTATTTAGCGATTAGGTAGGTCTGCAGTAGGGCTCTAGAGTCTGAATTTTTAATATGTGCCTTTAGGTGATTTAATGAAGATGATCCAAGAATCACATTTTATAAATTTGACTTGAGGAAAGACAGTATAGTGTTTAAGGGTGTGAGATCTGGACTTATTCTCCAGTTTTGTACCCTGACTCCATTTCTAGATTTGTGACCTTGGACAAGTGTTATCTCTCTGTGCCTCAGTTTCCTCATCTTTAAGACAAGGATGCTTACACTAGTTGCTATAAAGATTCGATGACATAATTTGTGTCAAGCACACTGCACATGCATGTCTCATGTTAATTTCTCAACAAGTATTTACCATTATTATTTGCTCCGATTCCTCATTCCCACCCCCACCCCTCTCCCACCAGAGGAAGAAATAATAGTATTGGATTGATACAGGGATTTGTCACCGCAGTATTGTTTGGGATGTGGGTGATCTTTGGGCTGTGCTTTGAGAATTCCTACTCCAAAGCCATTCTCCTCCTATCACTCTTCTGATACCCTGGCTGTGGACTGAGCTTCTTCCAGTAAACCTATCCTGAGTTTCTTCTCTTCCTTTCCTCCTTGATCCTTCTCTCATTTGGCAAGCCACCCCTTTGAAAGTTATTTGGCTCAGCAATTTGTCCTAGAAGGTAACACCAAACAGCAAGTCAGTTGTGGGGCTGCATAGACCTCCAGATTCCTGAAGAAGACCACAGAATCTGTTGCTCTGGGGCTTGTGAGTAAGTTTCAGAGGCAGAAGGGAAACAGAAGCATATATATATATATATATATATATATATATATATATATATATATAATTGATTTTTTACAGAGAGGAAGGGAGAGAGATAGAGAGCTAGAAACGTCAATGAGAGAGAAACACTGACCAGCTGCCTCTTGCACATCTACCGAGGATGTGCCCACAACCAACGTACATGTCCCTGTCCGGAATAGAACCTGGGACCTTTCAGTCCACAGACTGACGCTCAATCCACTGAGCCAAACTGGTTTTGGCAGAACAGAAGCTTTTGCTACCCAGGTTCTAACCATGGAAGCATGCTGGGAAGCAGACATCCTGTGCAAAGGCATGGTTGAAGCCCAACAGGAGCGATGGGCAAAGGAAGCTCTGTTCTGTACAAATTCCTGCAGGCACTTCCAACTCTGCATGGCATCTCCAAGTGACCAGAAGCAGAAAGGGAATGGGGGAAGTAAAGATGGTATGAAATAATTCAACCAAGGACACAAAAGGAAAGCCGAGGAAGTCGACTTTCAACACAGTCGGTGTGCTAGTTTTTGAAGTTCAGAGACCAGGTCTCACCTGGGATGCGGAGAAAAGCAGGGTCAGCTATCCGAGTGTCTCCTCTCAGCCCTCCTGAGACCCAGTTTCCTGCCTCCCACTCTCTGACCAGTGCAGCTGAAATAGAGAACCCCTGTGACGTGATAAAGGAAAGGATGGAGACATTCTTCCCGAAGAAAAAATGGGCAAATCTGGGTTTGGCTCCAGCTTGGCCCACAATGTCCTTACCAACTGGTACTCCCCAGAACTTCCGGGCCCAAAGCAAATTTGTATCCACCTTACTAGCCAAGGGCACCATATAGCATATATAGCATGTCATACCTGCAACGTTCTGACATCCTCCCCAACACACACACACACACACACACACACACACACACGTATGTACATCGCCAGATAAGAGTACACCAAGTTAAACTTGAATTTCAGGTTAAATTTTTAATTTAAGTATGTCCCAAATAGTGCATTGGCACATGCTTATTCTAAAAAAAAATTATGCGTCGTTAATCCGATACTCGTTTAACTGTATTTTTATTTGCTAACTCTAGCAACCTTACCCAATTTACCTGCAGAATCTGCCTCATCCAGGCTCACCACAGGACTTCGCTGGACACCTGTGGCTTGTTTTGGCTTTAGCTGAGCATCTTCGTTACAGTCTAACCCGCTAGACTGAAAGCTCTGTGAAGGGAAGGCCCAGGCCTTGTCCACAACCTCTGGTGCTCCGTTCCATGAAAGGACGCTCTTTGTTGAAGTACACAAGGGCATCTGTGGAGAGGAGATGGGCAAAGAAATCCATTCTCAACTCTTGCCCCAGCGGAGTCCTGGCACGGAGCTGTGCCATTGAAAGGAGCCTTTTCCTCATTGGTCTGCCAGAGGAGTACCTGTTTCTAATTGGTTCGTCCAGGAGGCGTGGCCCCTTTTCATTGGTTGGTTGGGAATGGGTGGGGCCTATTCTAATTACTCCACCCACCGGACCGCCTGTTTCAGAGGAAGGTTGTCTAATCAAAGAGGGGCCTTTTAAAAGTTCCTCCCCCGGAGTGGCGCCTTTTTCTAAATAACAAAGCCATTCTATGTACTAATAAACTTTCTGAGGCCCTACGCCTTAGGATAAGAACACTTCATTCCATTTGCTTAGCACTTTATGGGTTCCAAATGACTTTTACATCTAGCAGCTCATTTAATCCACACAACTCCGAGAGGTGGGTATCACGGTGTCCTTTGCATGTTACAGACTGAGACTAGGAGATGGTAACCTGCTTGCCGTTACGGAGGCAGATGGGGAAAACAGTTTACTTTTGCTCAGCACGAGTTTAGCTACGGCTTCCATGGGAATCATTTCATTCCACCTTTACTACCACGGGGGGGGATCCGTAAAGCCATGCGCTTTGCACTCATTCTCTCTTTTAACCTTCCTGCAACGCCAGACACTAAACCATTTGCTCCCATTTTACTGGTGAGGAAACTGACGCTCCAAGCACGTAGTTAAATCAATCCTTTTGCAAAAAGTCCACAGTGCTTTGCAAGCTACCATTTATTAAATGCGTTTTTAATGCCAGCAAGTTGCCAGGCTACTTGCAGGCATTCTTCTCTCATCAAATGCTCCCAACAATGACATGGTTCCGCTAGGTATTATTATCCCTGGTTAGTGATGAGAGAAATGGTTCAGAGAAGGCTTACCCAAGACCACACAGTCAGCAGGTAGATTGAGGCAGGATTCATACTGCTAGCCAAAAAAAATCAGAGCCAAGACTGGATAGAGCATCGGCCTGAGGACTGAAGGGTCCCGGTTCGGTTCCGGTCAAGGGAATGTGCCTTGGTTGCGGGCACATCCCCGGTGGGGGGTGTGTAGGAGGCAGCTGATGGATGTTTCTAACTCTCAGTCCCTCTCTCTTCCTAGAAAAAAAGAAAAAGAAAAAAGCAGAGCTGGAACTCAAATTAAATCCTTCTGACCCTAGCCGAAACCGGTTTGGCTCAGTGGATAGAGCGTCGGCCTGCGGACTGAAAGGGGCATGTACCTTGGTTGCGGGCACATCCCCAGTGGGGGGTGTGCAAGAGGCAGCTGATGGATGATTCTCTCTCATGATGTTTCTAACTCTCTATCCCTCTCTTCCTCTCTGTAAAAAAAAATCAATAAAACATATTTTAAAAAAAATTCTTCTGACCCGGCCCAAGGCTCCTTCCTTCCCTCTCCAGGTCCTTGCTCCCTGCAGCCTGGCTGAAACAGTCCATGAGCCTCAGACCCTTTTACCCGCCTCCCCAGGGCGATCTGCATCCCCTCGAGGTGGCCGGCCGGCGGCGGGCGGGAGACTGGGGCCCGCTGGGCGCAGCCGGCACCGGGCGAGGCGCGCAGCCGGCGGAGGAAACTTCGGAACCCCGCGTTCCAGCAGCGGAGCGGGGTGGGTGTGGCCGGAGCCGGGCTCCCGCCCCTCCTCCCGCCCTTCCTCCCTCGCCTTTTAGGTCTCGGGCCCGCAACCCACTGAGCAGACACCGCCGGAGCTGCACCTCCTCCGGCTCCAGGCGGAGCGTCCCCGAGGAGCGGCCCAGCGCGGAGCCGGGGCGCTGGCCACCCCCGGGCGCCCTCCCCCTGGGTGCCCGGCGGCGCGAACCCGCAGCATCCGAGGAGCCCGGCGGGCGGCTTCCCCGCGCCCCGCCCGCGCCCCGCGGAGATGGCTGCGCGCGCGGGGCTGCTGCTGCGCGCCCTGCCGCTGCTGCTGTGGGGCGGCCTGGGCGCCCGGCCCCCGGGGCGCGCGGGCCGGGAGCTGCGCCGGGAGGCGGAGGTAAGGGGCGTGTGCGGGCCGCGGAGGTCCGCGTGCGGGAGGGGGAGCCGCCAGGACTGCGCATTCCGGCCACCCCGCTGCCCCTCCGCGCTGGCAACCTGCTCTGTCCTCTCCCTGTCCCCGCACCCTCCCCCCGGGCACACAAAGAACCCGGGGGCAGCATTCTCCCCGGGTTGGGGCGGGGACCACACAGGCACGCGGGTCTGCACGGCTGTTCCCGGACGGGGAAGGAGGGAGAGACCAGAGGGGACAGACAGGCAGGAGCGCAGAGAGAGGCAGCCCCCGCCCCTCGCCACCTAAGCCGGGGAGGCTTGGCGTTCATTCATCCGAAACCCCAAGCTCTCCCGAGGGTCAAACACGGCGGAGAGGATACCGCCCTCCGAGCTGGGACACCGGCGACAGAACCGGCTTTCCTAAGCGGCTTGTAAGTGGGTGAGAGTATTCCACTACTATCCAGAGCTGCTTCTGAGAGCACTAAGCGGTGCTCCTGGAAGAGGGGGCAGGAAGGTGGCGATGAGCCTTAAACATTCCCGTTTTCAGTTTCCTCCTTCGGACTCAGCTGCTTGCTGCAGGTTGCATAATCGAGAACTTTTTGCGAGGTGAGAGTGGGGGAGGGCTTGGGACATCTATTCTCCAGATTACAGTGATTGTAGCAATACACCCGTGGCTTTTCTTTCTTTCCCAAAGAAGCACTAATGTATTTTTTTTTAATCATCACCCATGGATATTTTTTCCCATTGATTATCAGAATCAAAGGGAAAGGGGAGGCAGAGAGAGAGAGAGAGAGAGAGAGAGAGAGAGAGAGAGAGAGAGAGAGAGAGAGAAATATGGATGTGAAAGAGACACACGTACCCTTTGGTCCACGGGCCCTCACTCTAATTACTGAGAAACCCCACCAGGACTCCGTGTTCTTAGCTCTTCACAGAAATAGATCTGGGGTTGCCACTATTTTAAGGCAAAGAGATGCTCATAACTTCTAAATTACCGAGCCCAGCACTCTGCCCTGAGACGTGCCCACCTAAGAGCATCTTTCCTGCACTACAACTGCCAGTTTGGAGCTTCTCAGTACCCTCACCCCCTTTCCTGGAAGGGGCGGGCTGAATTTGGGAAACTGGAGGCGGGCCCACAGCCAGCTTCTGTGGCTGTTCGCTGCTCGGGAATATCTGGGAATGACCGCGCTTTAACAAAAAGGTCCTTTCTCAAACTCCCTGCCCCTGTCCCCTTCCAAGCACTGGTCTCTTGCTCTGTGCTCTCTGCTTCTGGACATTTAAGAATCATTTTGTTCTCTGAATTTAGAATCTTACAACATCAAGTACAAAGTCCTTGCGGCCCCAGGGCAAGGCTTCTGTCTACCAAGCCAAGTCCTGTTAAGAGTCCCCCCTCACCAACTCCCCCCCTGGTGTCCAGGTCCCAGGCGATCCTTGGCAGGAGAATAGAGACAATAGCTCGGTCGCTCATGCCTGTGGTGGCCTCAGATGGAGAGAATTTCATCCTGGGAAATGTAATATCTAACAGATTGAGTCTCTTTCCGTCTATTTAACATAATTGCGGTAAAGGGGATTTTTAACTCTGAAAACAAGAAATATTTTAAAAGCATAAAGACTCCGGAAATGTGTAATGGGTTGCATAGTGTCTCCATATGCCTATGCCTGTACATACGTATGTTGTACATATGTAAATTGGGATGTGTATGTGCATGTGTGATGTCGGTACGACTAGATGTGTTTCTGTGCATGGTCAATTGCATGGTCTTTGGTGACAGACAGACCTGTGTGCAAACCATAGGTTTAACCTCTGTGAACCTCAGTTTTCTTCTCTGTGCAATGGGGTTAATAATGCCCGTTTCACAAGATTATTGTGTGGTTTTATTGAGATCCCTGGTTCCTAGAAAGTAGTTTATAAAAGGAAGTTGCTGTCAATGCTGTCAGTATCTTTATCATTATTTTAGAGAACAGAGACTCAGATTAAAGCCCTGGTTGGTGACTAGCTCTCCTAAAACAATGACAAAATGCACAAGGAAACTATTTTCAGCATTGGACAACAGATAGCACAGCGCTGTAATTCTCAGATGGTGTTGCTTTTACGATGGCTACATTACACATAACCCCAAAACTTAGAAAGTAAAACAGCCCTTTACTATGCCCATTGGTGCCATGGTTCAGAATTCAAACAGCACATCAGGGCAGCTTGTCTCTGCTGTGCAGCATCTGGAGGTGGGATCGTCTGAAGAATGCTTACTGGCCTACCTGGTAGTTGATGCTGGCTGTCAGCGGGGCCTCAGTTCCTCCCCATTCGGGCCTATCCACAGTGTCTCTCCATGTGGGCTAGTTTGGGCTGCCTCAAAACATGGAGGCAGGGTCTCCAAGATAAGTGTTCTGAGAAGTAGAAAAGGAGACAGACAGACAGACAGACAAGCAAAAGAAGCTGTGCCCTCCTTAGGGCCTAGACTGAGAAGTTAGGCATAATCACACTTGCTGGATCAGTCACAAACCCCCCAGGTCAAGGGGAGGCAACATGGTCCCCATAATCGGTGGGAGGAGTGCTGAAGTCACGTTGTGAAAAGAGCATGGAAATTGGAAATGTCACGGTCATTTAGGGAATTACAACCATTGCAGAAGGGAACACACAAAGTAAGCCCCACGATCACTCCGGCTCTCTGCTCAGGTGCAATCCCCTGACCGCTGGGCAGGGAGCTAGACCCCAGGAGAGCATAGCGGTCCTACTGAGCCCATGGACAGAGGTCGGATTGCAGAACATAGACGGAAAGAAATAATAAAAACAGGCGGCGTGATCTTGACACATTGCGGACGGATCATGGGAATTCTCACTTCATATTACACAGTGTTTTACAAAGTGTCCTACTTTAAAAAGATATTAGCCTGTAAGGACATGTAACACATAACTTCAAAATGCAATGGGTATTTAACTTTAAAGCGTGCCTTTAACATTTACGTAAAACGTTTTTTGTGCTCGTTCAATAGAAACCTACCTGGCCACTGGGCAAAGCCAGCAACACAACTCCTGGTCCGCAATGTGTTATTTCCTTCACTTCTCCAGGCTGCAGTTTCCTCTGGAAAATAAGGGCGTTAATTTTATTTAAATGGTTTAAATGACTTTTAAGTTTCTCTCTAGCACTAACATTGACTTTGGTGTCTGTGTGTGCACACGTGTGCGCACGTGTGCGTATGTGCATTGGTGTACATTTCATCTGCCTGTGTGTCCATGCCTGTGTTCCCATGTCTCTGTGTGCATGGCTATATGTGTCTCCTGTGTGCACTCAAAGCAATAAAACTGAGGGCTTTCCGGAGTGGTCTTTGGCTGGGAGGAGACTGACTGCTCACAAAGCTGCATTAATGAACAAGGTCATTGTCGCCCACTTAGCAGAACGAGGGCTGTTCCCACACTGGTAAGTAGGAAGGGCCTCCACTGCCCAATTGCGAGACTGAGGGTTAATGAATGACATCATCATCCTGGCCCCATTCTCATTCTCAGCCGGGCCCTACTCTGTTCTTGGGCGACACAGACTATCCCAAGGGATCTATCTACCGTGTTTGGCTCAGACCTTCTTTAGAACCGCAAGGCAAGTATGTGCAGGACCTGCCTTCCACGCGGTGGTGGTCTGCGCAGATCGGCACAGCCACTCCCAGGGTGGCGCACTTCAGGAGCTGGGGAGTTGGTTTCTCCAGGGAAACATTGGAGCTTCTGTGAAGTATCCACCCCCAGATGCAGTGTCTGCTTCTCATAGCCCAGAGCCATTTATTTGACTTCGTGTGAGTCAGAAACTCAGAAGCCCGGGTGTGGGAGCCATTCCCAAGGGCTCAGCTCAGTGACTCATGGGTACAGGGTGAATGGAAGTGCAGGAGACACTCTGAAGGGTCCCAGAGAAGCAGGAGGTGGTGGGAAAGCAGTTGTCACGCCAGCTTGAAAACCAAGAAATCTAGTACAGTGGCCCTAGCTGGTTTGGCTCAGCAGATAGAGCGTCAACCTGTGAACCGAAAGGTCCCAGGTTCGATTCTGGTCAAAGGCACATACCCAAGTTGCAGGCGCCTCCCCATCCCAGGCCCTGGTCAGAGTGTATGCATCCTGGAGTCAAACGTTTGTCTTTGTGAAGGAACATGCTTTGGTCCTGTTACATACCTCTGGCTGGTCAGAGGACTGGTGTGGGGTGCGATGGAAGATGTGATCCCAGCCTCTACTGGTAGCCACGTCCACAGCCCGAGCAGCTTCTTCCCTCCGCGCTGCCCCTGGGCCTGCTTGCAGAGGAGACAGAGGGAGCCCGTTAGAAAGAGCCCAGTTCTGCCTTCTTCTTCTTTGAGGGCTGTCTCCGCAGTGGGGAGGGCAGCTTGGCTCTTGCTCCTTCACTTTGAAAGCCTCTGAGTCACCTGTTAAAATGTGCAATAAAACATCCTGGAGAGGTGTCGGACTCACATACTGGCTCTGTCCCTCACTAAGACCTTTTTAAAAAATATATATTTTTATTGATTTTTTTACAGAGAGGAATAGAGAGTTAGAAACATGGATGAATCATCAATCAGCTGCCTCTTGCACACCCCCTACTGGGGATGTGCCCAAAACCAAGGCACATGCCCTTGACCGGAATCGAACCCTGGACCTTTCAGTCCGCAGGCTGATGCTCTATCCACTGAGCCAAACCGGTTTCGGCTCACTAAGACCTTTTACCAATGTACTGCACTCTTTAGAGACTTACTTTCTTCATCTTTAAAATGGAATAATAGCCCTGGCCAGTTGCTCAGTGGTTAGAGCATTGGCCTGTGCACCAAAGGGTGCAGGTTTTGGCTCCAGTCACGATGTGTGTGGGAGGCAACCAGTTGATGTGTCTCTCTCACATTGATGTCTCCCTCTCTTTCTCTCACCCCTGTCCACCTCTCTTCCAGTGTCTCTAAAAGCAATGAAAATCCTCCTTGGGTGAGGATTGACTAAAATAAAATATTAAGCCCGACAGGTGGGGCTCAGTAGTTTAGCATCGACCCAGGAACCAG